CCAGAAGTGGTGCTGTGGCTCAAGTGGTAGAGCACCAGCCTTGAGCTGAAGAGCTAAGGGACAGCGCCCAAGCCCAGAGTTCAAACCCCACCACTGACCAAAAAAAAAAAAAAATAGATGCAGAAAACTGGAAGGGTTTGGCGGGAGGGAAGGAGCATTCAGGGAAGACAACAAGTCCTAGAATGGCCTTAGGAATGAAAAGGCCAAAGCTGGCTTTCCAGAGTAAAGTAATCTCACAAGCAAGGCAAAGCCTTAGTGTCTGAGAACGTGAGATCTCAAGTCTCCCTGGAGAGCTTGTCCCCAATACATGAGTGGACTCTCCTCCAAGGAGAGTTATTCCCTGCCTGAGCCCCTTGACGGGCTTCCTAAATCCCCAGCGTCTGTCTTTGCTCATTTCCACTTCAGGGCCTTCAGTTCAGCCACCCACTGAGGTCTACGTGCGTCTGATCCAGGCTTGTAGGTACCCTGGAAACTTCTCCCCCTCCTTTGGTGAACTTCAGAGAAACTTTGTGAAACATCGACCAACGAAGCTGAAATCCCTCCTGCGCCTGGTGAAACATTGGTATTATCAGGTAAGGGAATCGCCAGGAAGGAGGGCAGGAAGGAGACTGGGAGGAGGGAGAGAAGGAGAGGAAGAGTTAGATTTCATTCTTGGAAACTGCATGGAGGGAAATGAATCCAAATATTGGTGGCACCTCTAAATCCCAGCTACTTAGAAGACAGAGAGTTCAAAACCAACCCAGACAAAAAGTAAGACCCGCCCCCTCCCCCACCCTCCCACCTCCCCCACCCCCAACCCCCCCACCCCCTGCCAAGTTCAGCAAACAAGCTGGGTATGGTGATTCACACCTCTACTCACAACTACTAGGGAAGTACAGGTAGGAGGATTTCAGTTATTTTCAGACTTTATCTGAAGATAACTAAAAAAGCAAAAACAGCAGGTATGCTGATAGCTCACACCTATAATCCTAGCTACTCAGGAGGCTGAGATCTGAGGACCACGGTTCAAAGCCAGCCCAGGCAGGAAAGTCTGTGAGATTCTTTTCTTTTCTCCAATTAACTACCAGTGACGCTGTGGCTCAAAATAATAGAGCACTAGCCTTGAGCAAAAGAGCTCAGGGACTGTACTCAGGCCCTGAGTTCAAGTCCCATAAGTGAAAAAAGCAAAAAGGGCTGGGGGCCTGGCTCAAGTGGTAAAGTGCCTGTCTAGCAAGTGTGAGCTTATATTGAATTCAAACCCCAGTATCATCCAAAAATGGGAGTCCCGGGGCTGGGAAGGTGGCTCAGTGGTAGAGCGCTTGCCTTGCATGCCTGAGGCCCTGGGTTCGATTCCTCAGCACCACATAAGCAAAAAGAAAAAAGCCAGAAGTGGTGCTGTGGCTCAAGTGGTAGAGTGTTAGCCTTCAGCTGAAGAGCTGAGGGACAGCACCCAGGCCCAGAGTTCAGGCCCCATGACCGGACTCCCCCCCCAAAAAAGATATGGAAACAAAGACGGGGCTCCCTAGACCAGTTGCCCCCCAACAAATAAGTGGGCTGTGTTCCTAGGTATCATGGTCATTCCAGAGTGAATAAGTTCATGGCAAGTTTTTGTTTTTGTTTTTTGCCAGTCCTGGGGCTAGAACTCTAGACTAGAACACTGTCTTTGAGCTTTTTTTGCTCAAGGCTAGCACTCTACCACTTGAGCCACTACACCACTTCTGGCTTTTTTCTGTGTATGTGGTACTGAGGAATCAAACCCAGGGCTTCACGCATGTGAATCAAGCACTCTACCACTAAGCCACATTCCCAGTCCCAATAACTTTTTTTTAAATTTCACACCTGGCACCCACACAGAATCAAATAGAGTTCAAAATGTCCCGATGAAGGTTTTTGTTTCTTTGGTTGGTTGGTTTCTATTCTTTTTTTTGTCAAATCCTAAAATCATAGTCACAAATTAATGTCACTAGTAGAGACCTAAGTAGGCTATAAAACCAGCTAGGTGATGGTGGCTCACACCTGTAATCCTAGCTACTCAGGTGACTGAGATCTGAGACTCACAGTTCAAAGCCAGCCCCTGGCAGGAAACTCTGTGAGACTCTTACCTCCAGTAAACTGCCAAAAGATCTAGAAGTGGAGCTGTGGCTCAAGTCATAGAACTCAGGGACAGTACCTAGGCCCTGAGTTCAAGCCCCAGGAACCAGCATCACACACAAAAAGAAAGCAAGGAAGGAAGGAAGGAAGAAAGAAAGAAAGAAAGAAGGAAGGAAGGAAGGAAGGAAGGAAGGAAGGAAGGAAGGAAGGAAGGAAGGAAGGAAGGAAGGAAGGAGAAAAACATAAACAAGAATCAACATAGGTAAAAAATTGGATTTTCCAGCTTCTGGCCCAGTACCATCTTTATATATAATCTTGGATCTCTCTGTCTGTCTGTCTGTCTCTCTCCATCTATTTCCACAGTATGTGAAAGCCAAATGCCCCAGGGCCAATCTGCCCCCTCTCTACGCCCTAGAACTACTGACAGTCTATGCCTGGGAAGAAGGAACACAGGAGGAAAACAATTTCCGGTTGGAGGAAGGCCTCACCACGGTGATGGAGTTGCTCCAGGAATATGAACTCATCTGCATCCATTGGACTAAGTTCTACTCACTTCAGAACCCAATCATTGGTGACTGTGTCAGAAAACAGCTCAAAAAACAGAGGTACCTGCCCAACACATCCCTTTGTGGGGGAAGATAGAGACATAGAGAGGGAGAGACAGACAGACAGGCAGGCAGGCTTCAGGGAAGCCTAGTTTAGAGTTTTATGGATCAACTTTATTAAGGACACAGTAAAGCTACCATAGCAGCTAGTGTTGAAATCTCCAAAGGAGAGTGTCTCAAGTTTGCAGCCTGTCAAGATCCTGGGGAAGGGAGCTTTCAGATGCTTTGTGCCTTTTTCTTGTTCCCAAAGCTACTCACTACTTTTCATTTTTAGCCCTCTTGCTCTCAGAAGACCATATCAGTGCTTTGTATTTTCTGTGCTGGTCCTGGGCTTGAACTCAGGACCTAATGCTGTCCCTAAGTTTCTCTTTGCTCAGGGCTAGCTCTCTGTATTTGAGCCACAGCACCACTTCCAGCTCTTTCTGAGTCATTTATTGGAGATAAGAGTCTCACAGACTTTCCTGCCCAGGCTGGCTTCAAACTATGATCCTCAGATCTCAGCCTCCTGAGTAGCTAGGATTACAGGCCTGAGCCACCACCACCTAGCTGCTGAGTCTTTTTATACAAGAGGGAAAAAAAACAGGGATCCTATCAAAGGATTTATTATAAAGATATCCAGAAAATTGTAGTTAGAAATACCTTCAGCAACCTACAGACATTCGCTACTTGTCTCCTCTCCTTACTCTTCTCTTTTTTTCTCTCTCCTCTCTTTCTTTCCCTTCTTTCTCTCTACCTCTCCCAATCTCCCTCTCTCTCTTTCCTTCTTCCTCTCCTGACCCTCCCTACTTGTTCTTTGCTCCTCACTGCCTGGGCTTTTCTACCCAGGGTGGCTTTGAACCATGATCCTCAGATCTGTTTCCTGAGTAGCTAGGATTACAGGCGTGAGCCACCAGCGCCAGGCTTAAAAAAATAATGCTTAGCCAGCTCAGGAGGCTGAGATCTGAGGATCGCAATTCAAAGCCATTCAAAGCCAGCCCAGGCAGGAACGTCCTTAAGACTCAGAAAACTGGAAGTGGCTCTGTGGCTCAAGTGGTTTGAGCTGAAGAGCTGAGGGACAATGTCCAGGCCCAGAGTTCAAGCCCCACAACCTACAAAATAATAATAATTATTATTATTATTTATTCAATATTTATATAAAGGAGAGACGCTTGGAGGCTGACTAACCTCTTCTTGTGGAGGCAGGAGAACTAGAATGGCTGAGAGCCCCCAGCTACTGGCTGTGAGAACTTAGGGAAGTCTATGCCTCAGTTTCCTTACCTGTAAAATGGGGATAAGAACAAGAACAATTGGGCTGGGAAGTTGGCTCAGTGGTAGAGTATTTGCTTCACATGCATGAGGCCCTGAGTTCGATTCCTCAGCACCACATAAGCAGAAAAAAGCCAGAAGTGGCACTGTAGCTCAAGTGGTAGAGCGCTCGCCTTGAGCTGAAGAGCTGAGGGACAGCGCCCAGGCCCAGAGTTCAGACCCCATGACCGGACCCCCCCCAAAACAAAAGAACAAGAACCAGAACAATTATAATAATTGTCCCTCACCTTATAGAATTGTAAAGGTCAAACTTGATCTACATGGTTTGAAGTTCATCAAAGCCAGTTACTGATGGCTCACCCCTGTCATCCTAGCTACTCAGAAGGCTGTAATCTTAGTTTCAAAGCCAGCCCAAGCAAAAAACAGTCCATAAGACTCATCTCCAGTGAACCACCAGAAAACTAGAAGTGACTTGACTTAAAGTAGTAAAGTGCTAGCCTTGAGAAAAAATAGCTCAGGGACAGTGCCCAGGCCCTGAGTTCAAGCCCCATGACAAGAAAGCAAGACAGAAAGCAAGACAGAAAGAAAGACAGAAAGAAAGACAGAAAGAAAGAAAGAAAGAAAGAAAGAAAGAAAGAAAGAAAGAAAGAAAGAAAGAAAGAAAGAAAGTCATCCTTGTTATGCTTATCCAAAGACACTTAGCACTCAATCTTACCTTGTATTTGAACAGCCCACTGTCCCTTTGAAAGGTCACCTCCCCAAATGCACATCTGTTATTGCTCCAATATGCCTCTTGAGGCCTCCCACTCTCCACTCCAAGAATTCTTGGAAATCTCATTGGCTTCATCCTCTTGCAAGGTCTCTGGGCCCTCCTGGACCGCCAGCCCTGGGCTGCATAAAAGGTTGCTGAGAGGTATCTCCTGGCTTGAGCCTCCAAGCAGGAAGAAGCCTGGGCACCTCTCTTCCTGTGTTACAGGCCTATCATCCTGGACCCAGCAGACCCCACCCACAATGTGGCAGGGGGCTACAGATGGGACATAGTGGCTCAGAGGGCCAGCCAGTGCCTGAAACAGGACTGTTGCTATGACATCAGGGAGAGCCCGGTCCCCAGCTGGACTGTGCAGGTAATGACACTTCCCCACACTGTCAGGGGCTTGAAGCTCTGAATACGATGACTGCAGGGTTGGCTTCTCCGTTTCTGTACTGATGACTTGCAGCTCGGAGGCAGGCAGCTTGAGGCCCTACTGCACCATCATCAATTCTGTGAGCTTCAGAAAATTCTTGAGATCTCTGTTTTATTTTTGTGCTGGCACTGAGATTTGAACTCAGGGCATGGGCACCGTACCTTAGCGTTTTCATTCAAGGCTAATTCTCAAGGACTTCCTTGAGAATCTTCCAACTGCAATCCTCAGATCTCAGCCTTCTGAATTGCTAGGATGAACAGGCACGAGCTACCAGCCCCAAGCATTCTTGGGCTCTCTAACTTTACATTCTTCTTCTCTTTTTCCTTCTTTTTTCCCATTACCAACTGGAAAAGCAGTTGAATATTCCTGATCATTCTTTTTTTTTTGGGGGGGGGGGGCTGGTCGTGGAGCCTGAACTCTGGGCCTGGGTGCTGTCCCTCAGCTCTTCAACTCAAGACTAGCGCTCTACCACTTGAGCCACAGCACCACTTCCAGCTTTTTTCTTTTTGCTTATGTGGTGCTGAGGAATCAAACCCAGGGCCTCAGGCATGCAAGGCAAGTACTCTACCACTGAGCCACCTTCCCCCTCCTGATCATTCTTTACATGAGCTAAACCCAGCCATGTCAATCCTATCAGCTGTCAGGTGCCAACCCTCCACTTGGAGTTGGAGGCTGGAGGAGGGGGAGGCCCAAGAACCTCACTGTAGGCTACTAAGAAGCAATTTCATTAAATGCATTTGCACAAAACTGCTAGGAAAACTATCAGAGATACTTCTAAATAAGGCAAAACACCCAGCAGATGAAAAAACTAATATTATATGATATCACATAATATATATTATATTATATATTATTATATAATCAGATATTATAATATCAGAGGCTTTATAAGGAACGGATTGCAAGTAGAGGACCCACTAACCAAATGAAGCCTATGAAAAATATGTCTCTAGATTTTTCTAGAATACAAAAAACCATCATGCATGGGGCTGGGAAGGGGGCTTAGTGGTAGAGTGCTGGCCTAGCTTACATGAAGCCCTGGGTTCTATTCCTCAGTACCACATAAACAGAGAAAGCCAGAAGTGGTGCTATGGCTCAAGTGGTAGAGTGCTAGCCTTGAGCAAAAAAAGCTCAAAGATAGTGCCCTGGCCCAGAGTTCAAGCCCTAGGACTGGCAAAAAAAAAAATCATGCAAAGACTGAACCCAAGACTTTGTGTCTGCAAAGCCCACATTCTAATGCTTGAGTTACAATCCCCAGTCCTTTGGTTTTTGAGACAGGATCTTCTGGCTACCTTTGCCTCTGCTGGTCTTGAACTCATCATCTTCCTGCCCCTCCTCCTCTTGACTACTGAGATGTCTTTTTTTTTTTTTTGGTCGGTGGTGGGGCTTGAACTCTGGGCTAGGGCGCTGTCCCTCAGCTCTTCAGCTCAAGGCGAGCACTCTACCACTTAAGCCACAGCGCTACTTCCGGTTTTCTAGTCATATATTGGAGATAAGAGTCTCACGGACTTTCCTGCCTAGGCTGGCTTTGAACCTTGATCCTCAGATCTCAGCCTCCTGAGTAGCTAGGATGACAGGCGTGAGCCACCAGTGTCTGGCTACTTTTTTTTCTTTTTCTTTTGAGACAGTTTCTCCAAATAGAGGCTGGCCTTGAATTCACTATGTAGCCCAGGCTTCCCTCAAAGTCACAATCCTCCTGCTTTAGCTTCCAGAGTGCTGGGATTACAGGCATGTGCCATCGTGCCTGGTGTTGCCAAGACTTTTGTCTTGAAATAGCAGAAGGCTTTGAAATGCTCGGATGCTGTTTCTGTGGCTGTGGCAAAAATGACACAGGTGAAGGGAATGTGTGTGTGTGTGTGTGTGTGCCAGAGCAGTGTGAGCTTAGCCTCTCTCTCTCTCTCCCCCATCCCACCTCTCTCCCCCCCCCACCCCCCTTCTGCAGACAGCACCAGACATCCAGGTGACAGTGAAGCAGTGGGGTCACTCGGACTTGATCCTCTGGGTGAACCCTTATGAATCCATCAAGAAAGTTAAAGAGAGAATCTGCCGGAGCCGAGCCTACTTGGGCCTGCAGCGCCTGTCCTTCCAGGAGCCCGGCAGCGAGCGGCAGGTACTCAGCAGTCACTGCTCCTTGGCCTTTTATGGAATCTTCTGCAGCACCCACATCTGCCTGCTGGACACAGTCTCCCCAGAGTTTCAGGTGTTTGTGAAGAACCCGGATGGTGAGAGCCACGCCTACGCCGTCCACCCCTATCACCCCATTCAGAGCCTGAAGCAACAGATCGAAGACCGACTGGGGCTGGGCAGCGGGCAGCAGCAGCTGGAATTCCGGGGTCACGTGCTGCAGGACTGGTTTGATTTTGCCTACTATGGCATTCAAGACAGTGTCACCCTCACCCTCTCCAAGAAGAAGGCGGAAAAAGCTCCAATTCCACGCGCCTAGCTTCCTCTAGAAAGTTCCTGTGCATCCCTGCGATGTCATCCTGAACCCATCCTCTCCTCTATCATTCCGGTTCTGTGCTGGGGCAGCCCTATGGCTCCACTGACTTTATTAATAGTTGTCCAGCCATGCCAGTAGGGTGCCCAAAGAGATGTGAGACCAAATAGACAAATGGACAATGGCCAGACCCTATGTACCAGTAGAATTCTGGTCTATAACTTTCTTTAGCAACTACCTGAGAAAGCAAACCACAGCCTTCCCAAGAACCAACCAGAAAGCAAGTCAGGACTCAGTCAATTGCTTCTGGCTTCTCTAATTCCTCACCTCATCACTTCCAATTTAGGGCCAATCAAGGGAGACAAGTGAGCTCTCCAAACCTCTCCTGGCTGGCCCACCTCCAACCTCCCTCCATCAACTCCCTCCAGAAGCCTTTCCCTTGTTTGGACTGACTAGTGAGCTTTCTGATCACCCTGCCTGGTCTTGGACTCTCAGTCAAATGTAAGGGATGGTGGTTGGTTCCTTCCAAGGTTTTTGTTTCTTTTCTTTTCTTTTTTTTGGTGGCTCAATCTTTTTTTTTTAATATACATTTTTTAATTGTGAAAATACTGTATAGAGGGGTTACAATTACATGGGCAAGATGAGTACATTTCTTATCAAGCATTGTTGCCTCCTCCTTTGTTTCCCCTTCCCATCCCTTCTCATCTCCCACCCCCACCCCGCCCTCCCCCTTCCAAGGTTTGAATAAAGAGCCCCTGTCTCATTTGGATGGTCCATTTCCATGAGTACTAATGCTGTTCTAATGGTTTTTACTTAATCATTTTGAGCCTCTCAACTCTGGAGATTTGAAGATGGAAGGAAACTGAAATAAAAAGAGGCCAAGTCTGAGAGGCTGAGGTTGAGGCAGTTTAAAAACTCCCCTTAGGGGCTGGGAAGGTGGCTCAGTGGTAGAGTGCTTGCCTTGCATGCATAAGGCCCTGGGTTCGATTCCTCACCACCACATAAGCAGAAAAAGCTGAAAGTGGCACTGTGGTTCAAGTGATAGAGCACTAGCCTTGAGCTGTAGAGCTGAGGGACAGCGCCCAGGCCCAGAGTTCAGGCTCCACAACCAACAAATAAATAAATAAACAAAAATAAAAACTCCCCTCAATGGGGTAGGAATGTGCTTTAGTGTACCTTAGTGGTAGAATACATGAAGCCCTGAGTTCAATTCCTCAGTACAGCATAAACAGAAAAAGCCAGAAGTGGCACTGTAGCTCAAGTGGTAGAGTGCTAGCCTGGAGCAAAAGAAGCTCAGAGACAGTGTCCAGCCCTGAGTTCAAACCCCAGGACTAGCAAAAAAAGAAAAGAAAAGAAGCCCACGAGCCAGGAGCTAGTAGTTCACAACTGCAATTTTAGGCTGAGATCTTAAGATCACAGGCCAAAGCCAGCCCAGGCAAACAAATCTGAGAGATGTGTGTATGTGTACACATGTGTGTGTATGCATACATTCATGTATTGGCATGTACATATGCCAGTCCTGGGGCTTGAACTCAGGGAATGGGTGCTGTCCCTGAGCTTTTTTTTTTTCTCAAGGCTAGCACTCTGCCACTTGAACCGCAGCTCCATTGCCAGCACACACCCCTTTTTTTTTTGGTGGTTAACTGGAGATATTCTTATCTTGTGAATATTTCACCTTCAAATTGGAATCCTCAGATTTCAGCCTCCTGAGTAGCTAGGATTAGGCATGAGATGTGTACACCAGGCTCCGGTAACCAGCAAAAAGCCAAAAGTGGAAGTGGCTCAAGTGGTAGAACACCAATTTCTAAAAAAAAAAAAAGAAAGCAAAAACTCCAGGCTAGAACCTGGCCCCTGAGTTCAAGTCCCATTATCAACACACACAAAAAACAAAACTCAACTCTTGACACGCACACAAACAGTATATAATAGTCTACAGACTTTAAAAACATCTTTCTTATCAAAGTACGTCGTGTGGTAGGGTTTATGCCAATCGACGAAAGCTTCCCTTTTGCCCTCACGTTTGAGTACTGCAAGACAACTCCGGGTCTCAGAGTAAGAACTACAATTCCCACAATGCCCCAGGCCAACAGCTCGCACCGGGTCACATGGGAGTAAAACCACGCCGGAAAGCGTCCTCCCCAATCCTTTGCGGCCGTCCAAGATGGCGGCGCCCAGTGGCACCTTGAGCGATGCAGAGAGCAGCAGCAGCAGCGATGGCGAGGAGTTGGCGCGGTGCCGCGAGGCGGCGATGCCAGCCTGGGGCTTGGAGCAGCACCCGCGGGGAGCAGAGAAACCAAGAGCTGGTAGGGAATTGGGTTCGGTGAGACGTCCCTGAAGACACGGGTTCTTCACCAGAGGGGCTCGCTCGCTGCGCAGGCCGCCACCTCCTCAGCGATCTGCAACGCCCCGAGCGCTCACCTCCATCCTTCCCTCGTCTCTGAGCTGCGTCCCCGGCATACTTGCTTTTTATTCCTTACCTTTCTATAAGGATCCCCTGCCCAGCGCGCCTCACCACTCTTCCCTGCTTCGGTTTTGGGTTTGGTTTTTCATAAGCTTACCCCTCCTCCATCTCATGTGTCCTTTACTGGGTCTGTCTTGAGTCTCAACTCATGAGGACGGGGATACTTTTGTCTCAGTTGCTCAGTGCACCTGGTTATGATTGATAGGCGTTAGGTATTTGATTGTGTGAGACATGCAGACTGAGCATCTCGAACGTTTCGCTTTAAAAAAAAAGAATGTGATCATGGACCCCTTGCAACAATGAGACGTACAAGTCGTTATGTAGAAAACGAACTTTACAACTTTGGTGGGGGGGGGGAGGATGGAATGGGAAGGGGAAACAAAGGAGGAGGCTACAATGCTTGATAAGAAATGTACTCATTATCTTGCCCATGTAATTGTAACCCCTCTGTACAGTATTTCCAAAATAAAATAATTTTTAAAAATGATCAGCACAAAAAGCCACCCTTTTTCTTCTTCCACAGCACTTAGCCCACAGGCAGGCATAGAGTAGGCACTCAGTAAATTGAGGGCCGGGCATAGTGGTTCACACTTGTAATCTCAGCTGCTTGGGAGGTGAAGATAGAGGCTGGCCTAGGTAAAAGTGTGAGAACCCCCCCATCCCCACCCCAATCTGGGGGAAAAAAAAAACCTCTAAAAAAGGGTTGGGGGCATAACTTAAGTGCTTTCCTAACAAGCATGAGACCATGAGTTCAAAACCCTGGTACCACCAAAATTTTTTAAAGTTCCATAACATTAAACTTGGACATAACCTGTTCTACCTGATGATGAAGGGGCCTGGGTCCTCATCCCAGTGCTGTTTCAAGTAGCCATTAGACTCTGGCCAAGATTAACTCTCCTTGACTCTTCTTCGTCTTCTGTAAAACGGAAATGGTGGCCAAATCTCCAGTGGGCTTTGGGAAGATCCACCAAGTCATAAGAATCACTTGAAATGCTGCCTAGCACTCACAATTGTTTTTGTTCTCATATTTTTCCTCCCATAAATGCTTCAATGTTCATCTTCCACAGATGCTGCAGGTAACCAGTTGCCAACCTCTCGGCCAAGCCTCAGGTACTATGGGCTTTGGGTAGCAGCTTCATGCATTCATTCAACAAATATCCACCCCCGTGTATATCTAGTGCTAGGTGAGACCCTGGGATATCGAAGGGAACAAGACTCATTTATAGTCCTTGTCCTCATGGGGGACAGCTGCTGATCACACAGGAAGTGACACACTTTTGTGTGTGTTGTAGACACAAGGTGGATGAGCACGAGCAAGATGGCAATGAGCTGCAGACTACCCCTGAGTTCCGAGCCCACGTAGCCAAGAAATTGGGAGCCCTGCTGGACAGGTGAGCCGATCACCTCTCTGCTCTTACGCAAGCAGGAATTGGCATACGTAAGCTGTGACTTCTTGCTGTGTATCCCGTATATCCTGCAGTGACCTCCTGTCCTATCTAGTGCCTAAGCCCCATGGCCTTTACCCTGCCTGAGCCTGCTACCATGAGAACAGGAGGAGTCCTGGGAAGCAAAAGCTTGCTCCCACCACAAGAGGACAAGGATGGCCAGACAGAATCTACCATTCTTCCTGTATGCCAGGCACAGAAGCCTGTTCTCTGCTGGCCATTGCCAGCACAGGGTGAGGGTAGTATGGGAAAGGGCTGGCTTAGGAAGGCCAACCTGTGCTCTGGGAAGGAAGGTTCATCTGTCCTTTTGGATAGGGATTTCAGGTGGAACATGGTCCCAAATTCTCATCTTCCTTTCCAAGCCTGCCTGGGCTCTGGGGCTGGGAAGGTGGCTCAGTGGTAGAGCACTTGCCTTGCATGCATGAGGCCCTGGGTTCGATTCCTCAGCACCACATAAGCAAAAAGAAAAAAGCCGGAAGTGGCGCTGTGGCTCAAGTGGTAGAGTGCCATCCTTGAGCTGAAGAGCTGAGGGACAGCTCCCAGGCCCAGAGTTCAGGCCCCATGACTGGACCCAAAAACAAATAACAACAGCAAAAAAAAACCGCTGCCAATACTACTACCTGCCACAATAAAATACCATGAGGGCTTATACACACAAGAGATATCTTCCTCGTGTTTTAAAGACTGAGGAGTACAGGATCAGGGCACCTATAAACAACGCCTAGTGAAGCCCTCTTTGTCTTTCTCTTCTACAGCCAATGCCTCACCGTGTCCCCACATGGTAGAGAGGACAAGGAGTCTTTGTCATACGTCTTGTTCATAAAGGCTCCACCCCTGACTTACCTCCTAACACTATCACCTTGAAACTTATATTTCAACATAGAAACTTAAGAGGGACACAGACATTCGACCTTACTACTCAGCATATGGCTTTATAAAAAAGGGAGTCTAGCCACGTATGGCAAAGTGAGACCCTGTCTGAAAAAATAGCTGAAAACAAAACAACTTAGAGGTGTGACTTAAGTGGTAAATTACTTGTTTAGCAAACCCCAGTACCCTAAAAAGAAAAAAAAAAAAAAACAGTGCTCCTTTGTGCAAACCCAGTATTGCACTGAGTGCCTTTCCTACCTTCCCTCCATCTATGAGCTGAGTGTCACCAAAGAACCTAGAAGGGGAGGAGCAAAGCCATCCAGGCACCAGTCTCTGTTCTGACACAGGGTTGGTGCCAGTTCTTAGGGACATTTGGTTGTAGAAGATGGGGTGAGGAGTGGGGAAGGTAACTGAGGCTTGAACTTAGGGCCAAGGTATGCCAACTTGGGTTTTTTTAATCTAGTACTCAGAAGGCTGAGGCAAGAGGATGTGCCAGTTTAAGGCCAATAACAAGTCCTTTGAAAAGAAAAAGAAAGAAACATGTCTCCCCTGTTCCCAAGGCTGACCTCTGGACCCCCTTCTCTGAACTGGTCATATTTCCCTTTACATACTTGCTGCTGGGAAGCTCAGAGCAAGATCTGTGCTCTTTCACATTTCATACTTCTGGCTCTTTCTACCCCTCCACCATATTCCTTTTGTTATACTACATCTCAAAATTCTTCAATACTTTCTTGAATAAAAGGCATTTAAATAAATGAGGCGCTGCAGTTTGAGTGGGCGGGGATTGTTGGGCAGGTTAGCAGTATTGGATTTAGGATCATATGTGTGTGTAGTGTGTATGTGTGTATGCATGCATGTATGTGTGTATGCATGCATGTATGTATGTGTGCCCAATACCCTCCACTTTAAAACTTTTTTTTTTTTTTAATTTAAAATCACATTTGATTTTCACTGTTACCCTGCATGTCGTGCTGAGTCTGCCTGGTCCTCTCCCCTTAGCTCCATTACCATCTCAGAAGTGGTGACAGAGCCCAGGAAAGCTGAGAGGCAGAAAGTGGCCCGGGAGGATGACGGTGAGTAGCTGCGCCCTTCATGATAGCTGGCATTTGGCACGTGCCAGCGGCCTATGTGGGGCTCGAGGTGCAGCTGGGCCATTCCTGCCCAGAGATGCCCACCCAGTGCTGCCCCACCCACCACCCAGGGAACTGAGACTCTGAGAACCCCCAGCCGCCTTCTGCCTCCAAGCCCCCTCCTTCCAACTCAGGCCTCTGCCCAGCTCTTTAGCCTCTTTGGAGGCTGGCTTAGGTAGAGACTCAACCCCAGGTTTCCAAAGTCCTCAGAGGACCTGCCGTCCCTTTAGCCCCCTACCTTCTGCTCTCGCTGGTAGGTTGGGCAGACCTCACGGAGACCTCAGCCCTAAAGCAGAGTTCCTTTGGGACAGTGGCAGGCCCAGGAGAGCAGGGTCTCCCCAACTGACTGTCGCTGTGGATCCTAGGCTTCCGCCTCTTCTTCACATCCGTCCCTGGAGGCCCTGAGGAAGAAGCTTCTCCCCGACCCCAAAAGCGAAGACCCCCCAGCTCCAGGTAAGGAGCCCACCCTCTCCCCACAGCCTCTCCTTTTTTGCTTCTGTCCTATTGTGGCCAATCTCTTGGAATAACCAAGCAAACCCCAGTCAGGTCTAGACCCGATGGGTCTGAAGTCACTGAATAAGTAATGACCAGCAGGAGGGGGTAGGTTTTCACTGCTTTCCAAGCACCTTCCTAGGCTAGATTCCTCCTTTTCTGTTGGCATCCTGTAATATCTCTGTTAAGACCCCTGTTTTACAGATACCAAGGGTCGGAGACCTATCACTCGATGAGGTCACGTGGCTGGTGGGCGGAGCCGTGGAGTGCAGGCCCACCCTCCCTGTTCAGCCTGAGTCCTCACTGTCTTCCTCTGGGCTTGGCTGAGGGAGGCTAGGAAGGGGAAGCCTTGAACCATCCTGACTGTGGCTGCCTGTCCCCCAAGCAGCAGCGAGGACAGCGATGAAGAGTGGCAGCGGTGCCAGGAGGCAGCCGTGTCCGCGTCAGACATTCTCCGGGAGTCCGCCATCCATGGCCCTGTCAAGGCAGAGAAGGAGTCCAAGCAGAAGAAAAGGAAGTTGAAAAAGAAAGCCACAACAGAGGCCAACAGTGACTGGGCCGTGGCCACCACCCCCACCAGTGGGCCCCAAGGCCAAAAGCAGGAAAAGGAATCAGGCAAGGCCAATGGGGACCAGGTGGCACTTGCGACCCAAAAGAAGAAAAAGGCCAAGAAGAAAAAGGCCAAGTCTTCCCCATGCCCAGCAAACTGACCCACCAGCTGCAAGGATCAGGCACCCCTGGAGGAGGAGGCATCTCCAGGCCACGCCTCCCTCCAAGGTCCAGGCCGGGACCGGCAGCTGCCACTCCACAAGGTCCCAATTGTGACTATGGTCTGTGCAAAGTCCCCATAAAGACATGGGAAAGAGATGCCTCAGGAAGACCTGTGCTTCTACAACATTCCAGGCCAAGTGGTAAAGCATCCAATATCGTCTGAGGGGAACAAAGTAAAGGAAGGCCTCTCTTCTCCCAGGCCTCCTCAGCCTGGTGTGGAAAAGACCCAGAGAAACTTCTGTGCATCTCCCTCAGCCACACACATTTGAAAAGATATTGCCTGGGGAAAAGAGAGCTTTTCTTCCTTTCCCCAGTTTTTCAGAATATCCTTTTTCTATATGTATGAATACGCAGAATGTGTCTAAACCAATTAGCTTTTCAGAACTGGTCTGAGGGGTGGGTGGTAGCTCAGGGGTACAAGGCCCTGGTTCAACCAATAACATCAGGGGATGACAAAGAAAGAGAAAATAAATTGTGAGAGATTAGAATGACTTGGATGCTGCCTTCCTGTCAAAGCTCAATCTCTCTCCTTTTTTTTGGGGGGGGGAGGGGAGTCCTAGGACTTGAATTCAGCACCTGAGCTGCTTTTTACTCAAGGCTAGCACTCTACCACTTGAAGCCACAGCACCACTTCCAGCTTTTTCTGAATATTTTATTGGAGGTAAGACTCTCACAGACTTTCCTGTTTGGGGTGGCTCTGAACTGTGGTCCTCAGATTTCAGCCTCCCAAGTAGCTAGGATGACAGATCTAAGCCTCTGGCACCAGCTCTTTTTTTTTTATTTATTTTTGTTGTTTTTTTGTCACTGCAGGGATTAAATTCAGGACCTTGTTCTCCAGTCCTTGAGCTGCATCTCCAGTCCTTTCTTTTTGTTTGTTTCTCAGATAGGGTCTCATGCTTTTGCCCAGTCTGGCTTCAGACTGTGATCCTCCACCTCCAGAGTGGCTGGGATTACAGGTGTGTGTGTGCATACACTTGGCTTATTTTTTTTTTTTTTGGAACAGTCTCAATGTGTAATTCACGGTGGCCTTGAACTCATAATCCTGTACCTCAGCTTCCCAATACTGAGGTTATTAGTATGCACCATCAATGTTAAATCTTAACATTGTTAAATAACATACTCGGGGTCCTGCCCACGCCCTTGAGATATACTCCACTCCAGCTTCAGTACTTCAGGAAGCATCACAGCACTGGGTCTAGGCCTTGTGCATCCGGGGTCTTCTACACGCGGTAGAAGTTCAAGGCTAAGGTAATTCTGGCAGCCTCCCCTGACCTCAGGTTCAGCAGAGCTTGAGAAGCAGGTTTGGCTGGAGCCTGTTTCTCTGCACCTCAGTCCCCTGCCCCAACTCAGCCACCCTCTTCCTGCCCAAACCCCATCATGTACTCCTAGACAAGCAGGAACTTTCTCTGCATTTCTCACTGACTTTACTAAAAGTTAAATAATTGTACAGGCTCACCCATAACTGGCTGTATGCTGCAAGGGGACGCAGGTTCTCAGTGGCAGCCCTGAGAGATGAGGTCACGCGTACCCTGGGGTCTCAAGGCTGCTCCTTCCAGGGCCACTCAGAACTTGAGGCTCCTCAGGGTGGCTGCTGGCTCCCTGCCCCCAGTCCTGAGCCAGCCACATTCCCAAGCTTCTGAACCTCAGTCCAGGGCATGCAGTTGCTCCCCACCTTCTTGTCCTCCGTCCACCTCGGTTCTGCCAGCTCCCAGGCCTTGCTACTCCTGAGCTCTGTGGTTTCCTGCCAGTCTTGGGGTCCGGAGACCAGAAGAGCTGCTACCCTGGGCCTGGATCTTGGGTGAGTGGGCCTGACCTTTCTAGAAGGGGCAAAGGTAGCAACTTGGCATGAGAAGGCATGATGGTCAAGAGGAACAAATAATCAGGAAAATGGCCCTAGAAGAAGCTCAGGATAAGGGAGGCCAAAAGAACCCAGCCTGCTTTCCTGATAGCCCAAGTTCCCCAGTAGCTGGGCATTTGAACACCAGCCCTTGACACACAGTAGCCACTTAGGATAGCTAGAAGGACCGCAGCAGTGGCGTCAGGTGACTGTGTTGGTCTATGGCTTCACAGTTCAGTGAGTCTGGTGTTGCAAGAAATGTGGCGCACCAGTGGGAAGCTGAGATCTAAGGATCACAGTTTGAAGCCAGCCAAGAGAGTTCATGAAACTCTTATCTCCAATGAACCACCAGAGAACCAGAAAGGGCACTGTGGTTTAAATGGTAGAGTGCTAGCGTCAAGCAAAAACATCTCAGGAACAGCACCCAGGCCCAGAGTTCAAGCCCTAGGACTGGCACACACACACACAAAAAAAAGAAGAAGAAGAAGAAATGTGGCTGCCAGTGATCCCTCAAGACCCCAGGGTTCATTGTAGACTGAGGCAGGGGGCTGCAGAGCCGAAGGCTGGCCCCTCCTGTGTTCTAAGTCAAGGTTTTATCCTGAGCAGCAGGCATTGTCCTTCCAGAAAGAGGCTCTGCCTCCCTGTTTTCCACAGTCTCCCCTCTTGCTCAGCCAATACCGCCCTCCTCAGCAGGGGGCCTCTGGGAACTGTCCCTTTCTCATGCTGACAGTGGCAGAGGGACCCCGTGGCAGCAGATGCATGGCAGGCCCCAGTGTCTTCCAGGTGACTGGCCGTGGTCCTCATCACCCCCCAGGCAGGCTCCAGGGCCTGAACCCTGGGAGGCGGTTGCCATGGTTACTGGGAGGAGGAGGCCATCTGTGTGGAGATGAAGGTCTCGATGACCCCGTGGTTGGATGGTAGCAGGTGGCCGTGGCCGTTGGTGGCATCGGAGCTCTGATACAACACTAGGCTGCTGGAGGACACTGCGGAGAGAAACCGAGCTGCTGGCTGGCTGGCTGGACCCGCCCACCTGCCCATCCCTAGGGGTACTCAGACCTCACCTGAACCCCAGAAGATCAACCAACCCCAAAGTCAAGCCTCTACCTTCATGTCTTAAGGGGACCCTCCCAGCTAGGCTCTGGGGCCACCAGGTGTGGCTTACCTCAGCATAGTTTGGAAGTTTGGGGCAGTATTGGGTTTTGAACTCACAGCTTTGCACTTGTGAGTCAGGTGCTCTACCACTTGAGCCCTGTCTCCATCCTTTTTGTTTTAGTGCTTCAGGTGAGGTCTTGTATTTTTGCCTAGGACTGGCCTTGGACTGTGACCCTCCTACCAGTGCCTAACACATAACTAGGATTAAAGGTGGGAGACACTGAGCTCATAGAAGGCTTTGAATTTTTTTTTTCTTGCCAGTCCTGGGGCTTGAACTCAGGGCCTGGGCACTGTCCCTGAGCTTCTTTTGCTCAAGGCTAGTACTCTACCGCTTGAACCACAGCACCACCTCTGGCTTTTTTCTGTTTATGTGGTACTGAGGAATTGAACCCAAGGCTTCATGCATGCTAGGCAAGCACTGTACCACTCGGCCACATTCCCAACCCAAGGCTCTGGATTTTTAAATGCTAGCCATTCAAAGAATAATCAGTCCTGAGCCCAGCCAAACCAGACCCTTCCGTGAATTATTTCCGGCCTGCAGTAAGCCTAGTTAACTTCCTATTTATTGTCTCAGCTGTGTCTCCCAGGTGCTTCTTTTCTTCCCTCCACTGAGTGAAGGAGCTATGCCTGCAAATCCAGCTCCATTCTGCAGCGCACTCACTGCTTGGCACCTCATGGGTGCAAGGGCCGTGCCTGGGAGGCAGGAAGTACCGCCCCCATCTGTCCCTCCCAGGATACAGCAAGATGAGGGCGGCTCACCTGTGGGGCTGGCACTGAGCCGGTGGGCAGGCTGCAGGTGCTGGATGCTACCAGGGTCCTGGCTGGGGATGTGGATGGTGGTGGCTGGAGATGCCGGGGCATGCAGCCCAGACTCGCTGGAGGCCTCAGTGTCCGAGGTGAAGACCTGGGGACCAGAGCAAACCCCTGAGTTCCTGGGGCATGGAGTAGGGGCTTTGGGCGGGGCTGCCTGAGGACCAGGGCCTTACCTGCTTGGTGGGCGTGAGGCTGGCCAGGGCACTCAGGTTGGTGGTGTCAGTGATGAGCATGGTCTGGGGCAGGAGGCCTGTGTGTGTGTACTGAGCCACCTCTGGCTTGTGGCTGTAGAGGGCTGGCCGGGAGGAAGGGTGACAGAGGACAGACATGACACCCTGGACCAGGTGCCTGGCTGAAATGGCTTGATGGGGCAGGGTCCCAAGGAGGAATGGCCCACTCAGCTACAATCAAGGGACCACCTACAGCTCCCTTTGTCTCCCAGAAGTCACAGGTAGGAAAGGGAATGAGAGGCATCGGTGCTGTGGTACTAAGCACAATTTTATACCAAAAACGTGGGTTTCTGAACTAAGTGAAGGTGCCATACTAAGTGTAGCCCCTTAGCATACTAGACATGAGCAGTGTTGTGCTTGGTACAAGTACTCCTTGTACTAAGCACAGAGGTTACTGTACTGAGTTCAGGCTCTTGTAATAAATACTGGTGCTGTTGGATTAAGTACAGGTGATGCACTAAGCATAAGTGCTACAGTACTAATTGCTTACACTTGTACTAAGCACAGTCCCTTTTGTACAGGTGACATACTAAGTTCAGATACTGTTTACACCACAGGCCTCAGAAGAAAGGCACGAGGCCCCCATCAGCATGTGCAGGTCGGAGAGCAACAATTACTCCACCTCCAGACACCTCTCTAACATGTAACCCTACCTTTCCGCCCTGCAAAGGCACAGACCCCTCACACCCTGCCTTAGAACCACATCTCCCCAGAGCCGGTAGGAGCATAATGTGGAGGCACGGACTGGTCTGCCCGCCCTTGTCCCAGCGCTGAATCCCCGCAAGATCTGAACCCAAAGCGGTGGGAAGGTTGGCCCTGGGCCTCCCTCAGCCAGGGCTGAGTCTCTGTGGCGGGGAGTCCTCTGCTGCCAAGCACAGGTTGGCATGGGAATACACAGCCCAGCCCGTGTTCAT